TGAAAACAATCAAAGTGCCCATTTACAGATGATTGGCTTCAGAAGATGTGATATATACATACACATATACGTCCATTTTACATTATATATATATATATATATATATATATTCCATTGTGGAATATTATTCAACCATAAGAACCCCAAAAACTTGCCATTAGCAGAAACATGGATGGACCTAGAGAATATTATACTTAGTTAAATAAGTCAGGCAGAGAAAGACAAATACTGTGTATTACTCACATGTGGAATCTATAAATTATACAAATGAATGTATTTATAAAACAGAAACAGGCTCATAGATGTAGAAAACAAACCATGATTAACAAGAGAGGGAGGGAGTGATAAATTAGGAGTATGGAATTAAGATACAAACTACTATACATATAAAAGATAAGCAACAAGGATTTACTGTATAGCAGAGGGAATTTTATTAAGTATCTTTAAAAAATCTATAATGGAATATAATCTGAAAAAAATAACTGAATCACTTTGTTGTACACTTGAATCTAACATGATATTGTAAATCAACTACACTTTAATACTATTAAAAAGAGAGGAGTCTCTATTTCCTAAAGCCCTCCATGTCTCCTGAAAGAAAGCCCTACTGGCTTTCAAAGCAAAACTTTTGGGGGGCTCATTGTCCCCATGCAGGATCCCCACGTGGGGCTCAGACCCCTCACCCCCTGGGTAGACTTCTGTAATTGTATTATTCTCCTGTCTGTGGCTCACCCACCCAGGGGTATGGTTCTTGACTATATCAAGACTCCACCCCCACTACCTATATCGTTATGGATCCTTCCATGTATCTTTAGTTGTGGAAGATCTTCTCCAGTAGTTCTGGTCATCACCATCAGTTTTTGCTCTGCATATAGTTGTAACTTTGAGATGCCCATGAGAGGAAGAGAGCTCAGGGTTTTCTGACTCCAGCATCTTGCAGCAATCCCTTGTGGTCTTCTGGTTTTAGCAGCCTCAATAGACTAAAACAGGAGATTCTCCTGGTTTAGAAGGTTAGTTGAATGTAATCACCCAAGCTTTAAAAAACAAAGGTAAATAGATACAACTGAAAGAAGAAGGAGATTGAAAACAGGAGAGGGATTCAATTTGCTAATGCTGACTTTCAAGATGGAGAGAGCCAAATGGGTATCCTTAAAGGAAATGAATTCTGTCAAAAACATGAATCAACCTGGAAGCAATTCTTCAACAGACTCCAGTTAAAATTTTAGTTAGGACTCAGCGGGTGACTGAATGAATAAAATGGCAACGATGCATTGTGGAAAACATACAATTTACATATTTCTGATCAGAGTAGGGGATTTTTCATTCCTTCTCCAGGCAAAGTAGAGGCTGTGTACACTCATGAGCATTAAAGGGCTGATAACTGGGAAGCATGCAGCCATGATTATAGTAATGTTGACAAGGAACCAGCTGGAGTTACCAAAAGGAGCCAAAACAACTTGAAAGATGGAGGAAAGGGTATAAAAGTAAACAAATGTGCTCATCAGAGGAAGAATGGTTTTGTAGCTCTGGACACAAGGGAGGACCTAGGAGAGGTGTTGGTCCTATGAATGTGTTGGACCCTCTCTTTATGCCTGTGCAGGATGAAAACCATGGAGCCACTGGCCCAGAGCATGAGCCCCAAATATAAAACATCAGGGAATAATAGTATTACTGCATACAGTGCTTCCCTGGTTTTGTCATGACCAACAGCAGAACAGAATCCAAAATCCTTTTTGTTTGTGATGTTTTGGTCACTGCATGTACCATGTATGAAGACAGGGAAAATGATATTTACAAGCAGTTCCAACATCCAACACAGGAGAATAGAGAAAACAATGTACTTGGGAGCTTTTACTTTAAGCTGTGCCCACTTGGAGTTCCTCGGAGTGATTGTGATCACCTGAAAGACACTCAAGAGGCAGATGCTACCTCTGGACACTCCCCTCCCCACTCTGTGAAGAAAGAAAAGAACTTTGCATCCAAAATCACTGGGGCTACCATTACTCTGATACTAAAACCAGAAAAAGACACTATAAAAAAGAAAATGACAGATCAACATCTTAAATACAGATGAAAAATTGTCAACAAATAACATTAGCAAACAGAAATCAGTGATATATATGAAGAATTACGCACAACTATCAAATGGAATTTTTCCAGTGATGCAAAGATGGTTCAATATCCACAAATCAATCAATGTGATACACCACATAAACAAAAAGGAAGCTAAAAATCACATGATCTTCTCAATAGACACAGGGAAAAAAGCATTTGACAAAATTCAACATTTGTTCATGATAAAAACTCTCATCAAAGTGGGTACAGAGGAAGCATATCTCAACATAATTAAGAAAATTTTACGGCAACCCCTCTGCTAACATCATACTCAGTGGTGAAAACTGAAAGCTTTTTCTCCAAAATCAGGAAAAAGACAAGGAGGCCCACTCTTGCTACTTCTATTTAACACAGTATTGGAAGACCTTGTCACAGCAATCAGAGAAGTAAAAGAAATAAAGGCATCCATTTTGAAAGAGAAGAATAAAACTGTAACTATTTGCAGATGACATGACATTATATGTAGAAAACCCTAAAGTCTCCAAAAAACTATTAGAACTAATAAATGAATTCAGTAAAGTTGCAGCTTACAAGACTAGCAAACAGAAATCTATTGCTTTTCTATACACTAATAATGAAATATCCAGAAAAAGAAGGCAAAAAACATTTAAAATCATTTAAAAAACAGTAAAATACCTAGGAATAAACTTAACCAAGGAAGTGAAAAACCTATACTCTGAAAACTATAAAATATTGATGAAGGAAACCAAAGATGATACAAAGTCAGATAAAGATACCTTGTGTTCTGGACTGGAAGAATTAATATTGTTAAAATATCCATATTACCCAAACCAATCTACAAATTTAATGCAATCACCATCAAAATACCTATGTCATTTTTCACAGAACTGGGACAAAAATCCTAACATTCATATGGAACCACAAGAGACCCCACAAAAACAAAGCAATCTTGAGAAAAAAGTACAAAGCCAAAGTATCAAGTTCCCTTACTTCAGACTATCCTACAAAGCTGCAGTATTCAAAACAGTATAGCACTAGCACAAAAATAGACACACAGATCAATGGAAGAGAATAGAGAGCCCCAGAATAAACCAATGCACAATTTATCTATTAATATATGACAAAAGAGGCAAGAATATACGATGGAGAAAAGACAGTCTCTTCAATAAGTGGTGCTGGGAAAACTGGACACCTACGTGTAAATTAATAAAATCATTTGAACATTTTTTCCACACCATATACAAAAATAAACTCAAAATGGATCAAACACCCAAATAGCAGACTGGAAGTCACAAAATTCCTGGAAGAACACATCAGCAGAACACCCTTTGACATAAATCATAGCAATATATTTTTTTATGTCTCCTAAAGCAAGGAAACAAGCAAAAATAAACAAATGAGACTTAATTAAACTTAAATTTTCTTTTGCACAGTGGGAAACCATTGACAAAATGAAAAGATAACCTACTGAATTGGAGAAACTTTTCAAATGATATGACTGATATGTTAATATCCAAAATATATATACAGCTTATACCACTCGATATCAAAAAACAAACTATCCAATGAAAAGGTTAGAAAGCCTGAATAAACATTTTTATTAAGACATACAGATGACCAACAAGCACATGGTAAGTTACTCAACAGTGTGATTCATCACAGAAATGCAAATAAAAACCACAATGATACATCGCTTCACAGCTATCAGAATGGTAATCATCAAAAACACCACAAATAACAAACATTGGCGAGGATGTGGAGTAAGGGGAACCCTAGTATACTTTTCACAGGAATGTAAATTGGTGCGGCCACTATGGAAAACAGCATAGTTTCCTCAAAAACCTAAAACAGAATACCATACGTAGCAATGCCACTCCTGGGTATATGTCAGAAGAAAGAGAAAACACTGATTTGAGAAGAAACACATACCCCAATGTTCATAGGAGCAGTATTTACAATAGCCAAGACATGGAAGCAACCTGTGTGTCCGTCAACATATGAATATAGATGTGTTATATTACTCAGCCATAAAAGAATGAAAATTTTGTCAATTGCAACAACTGGCATAGACCTAGAGTGTATTATGGTTAGTGAAACAAATCACACAGAGAGTGACAAATATTGCATATTACCACTTATATGTGGAATAAAAAAAATAAAACAAATGGATGAATAGAACAGAACAGATCTGCAGATATAGAGGAAAAACTAGTGGTTACCAATGGGGAGAGAAAATGGGGAAGGGGCACGATAGGATTAAGATTTAGAAGTACAAACTACTGTGTATAATGTAAATAAATTACAAGGACATACTTTACAGCACAGGGAATAGAGCCCATATTTTATAATAACTTTAAGCAAAATATAATCTATATAAATACTTAATCATTATGCTGTATACATGAAACTAATATAATATTGTGAATCAGCAATAATTAAAGAGAAAAAACATAATTTAAAAGGATAATTCTGTAACCGACAGAGGTGGTAATTATGGCGATGACAACATTACAATGTATAAATGTAAGATTCTACCACGTTGTACACTTTAAATTTACACAATGTTATATGTCAAATATATTTCAAGTAAAAGGAATCAGCTGAAACATTTTTCTTTTGTCCTCTTTTTTTTAACACAGTTCACTTAAATATGGCCATTTCTATATGAAAATACTTCAATGTGTTCATTTCCTGTAAAATGTCATACTTCTAATAGAGGCTGCCATCTCTCTAAGGATTTTATCTATGAAACTCATAACTGTCACTAAAAGGCTCCATTTACAGAGACCAACTTTATCCTCTTGTTTCACACCAATATATTCTTTATTCTGTGATGACATTAATTTCTTCAGTTTTATTAATGACCATTTCACATGCTGATCCATTTTCATGTGTAACTTTATCAAAGAGTCCATGTCTGGGAAACATATTCTGTTAGATTGAAAGTTACATATCTGAAGACTTCAATATATGCAGATTGTCACAAGATCTACTGTTTATTACTGTATAAATTCCAAACTTTTCTACACACACTAGAAAAACATCAATAACATAATTATTTACAAGGTAATTATGTTTCAAGAAAATACAATCACTGTTGTTTATTGGAAGATGCTCAGCATGTCTTGCTTATTATTCTATTGAGATGCAGAATTTAGTTAAGACTCTGAGAGTGAATGAATGAACTGGCAATGGTATGGACACAGTGGATATAAATACAATTTACATGGTTCTCATCATAGTAGGGGATTTCTGTTATTTCTTATTCAGGCAAAGTAGAGGCTGTGTACACTGGAGTCACGGCTCATGAGCAGGAAGGGGCTGACAGCTGGGAAGCATGCAGCGATAATTATACTGACTTTCACAAGGGACCAGTTGGGATTCTCAAAAAGAGACAAAAGAAGTTGAAAGACAGAGGAAAGGGTATAAAAGTAGACAAAAGTGCTCACCAGAAGAAGGATGGTTTTTGTAGCTCTGGACTCAGGGGAGGAACTGGGGAAGGCTTTGGTCCTCTGAATGTGTTGGACCTGCTGCTTATGCCTGTGCAGGATGAAAACCATGGAGCCACTGGCCCAGACGATGAGTCCCAAACATAAAACATCAGGGAACAACAGCATTCCTCCCAACAACACATCACTGATTTTGTCACGATGAATGGAAGCACAGTATCCAAAATCCTTTTCCTTTGTGATGTTTTGGTTGCTCAATTTGCTATGTATGGAGATAAGGAAAATGATATTTACCAACATTTGCAGGAACCAACACAGGAAAATAGAAATGACAATGTACTTGGGAGATTTCACCTTAAGCTCTGCCCACCTCGAGTTCCTGGGACTGACCATGATCACCTGAACGACACTCAAGAGGCACATGCTACCAATGGACACTCCCCTTCCCACTCTGTGAAGAAAGAAAAGAACTTTGCATCCAAAATTACTGGGGAAATGTTTCCACCCAAACGCTGCCATTGTGTGGGGGACGCCTTTACAGAGAAGGGTAAGGAAGTTGGCTACAATCAGGTGCTTAATTATCAAATCTGTGGACCTTAACCTGTACCCAGTGATGTAAAGGATGATATAATGGCAAAGAAGTGAGAAATTCCCCAGGATTCCAACCACTGTCTGCATTAAGATGATCACATCAATTGCCAAATCCCTGCTATCCATCCTCTCAGACACCAGTCACTGATGTTTGTCTTGTCTGTTAGAATGTCCTGCATGGGAACATGAGGCACAGGATACACGTATAGTGTCAGCTGAATCCAATATTCTGCACTTATCATCAGTTCCCATTTGGAAACATTTACTGAATATTTTTCTGATAGTAGCAGCATTCCAAGGGTTGCATGTATAACATTTAAAGAGGACTTCAAATGTTAAAGTAATCATTGAAGGCATCACATGTGATCATGTTTTTATTCTTCACAAATCTCTGAGGCAGTCACTTCCACGAATTTAATTATACAGTTGCTGAAAAGGTACACATACAGAGGTTAAATATTTGTCCAAATCCACTGCTTAGGGCAGAGTGAGGACTTGACACCCACAGAACTGTGAAAGATACTGCAGTGATCCATGATGCTCTGCCAAAATCCTAGATAGCTATGTTCAAATAATCATCCAGATCGGTATTTTCTTCTGAATTTACATCTTAACATTTGATTTTAGACTGGTGGTATAAGTTTTATCAAGAAAAGAATCCATTTATTTATAAAGTTTTATTTTATATGTCAAAATCAATTATGAATAGAGATTTTCATATGTTAATACACGTCCATGCACTGTTGGCATTAAATTATCACAAGAACCTCCCACATGACAAGTTAACGTGAGGAAGAAGAGAAAGCCCTGAGATCAGGATGCCAACAGATCAGGATGCCAACAGAAAGTCTCCTTCCCTTTTCTGTGAGAAATGGAGAATAATAACACTTATTATAGAAGTTATTGAATAATCACATGTAATGCCATAAACTATGAACATAAAACAACAATACATGATAAAATAGTGCAAAGCAAAACTAAATGATTATCGATCAGCTCTACTAGTTTTTGTGTGGACCTTTTACTGTTTTCTATATATAGTAACATGTCATCGACATATAGTGACACTTTCACCTCTTCTTTTCCAATTTGGATCCCTTTTATTTCTCTCTCTTGCCTGACTGCTGTGGCTAGGACTTCCAAGACTATATTGAATAGAAGTGGTGCAAGGTAGGAGGTTACAAATTTAATGTTCAAAAATAAGTTGCATTTCTTTACACTAACGATGAATCAACAGAAAAAGAAACTAAAGAAACAATCCCCTTTAAAATAGCACACAAAGTAATAAAATACCTAGGAATAAATTTAACCAAGGAGGTGAAAGAATTATACACAGAAAACTATAAACCATTCATGTAGGAAATTAAAGAAGACTTAAAAAAATGGAAAGATATCCAATGCTCCTGGATTGGAAGAATCAATATTACCCAAGGCAATCTACAGATTTAATGCAATCCCTATCAAATTACCCAGGACATAATTCACAGAACTAGAACAAATAAAATTTATATGGAACCACCAAAGACCTAGAATTGCCAAAGCATTACTGAAGAGAAAGAAAGGCTGGAGGAATAACTCTCCCAGACTTCAGACAATACTATAGAGCTACAGTCATCAAGACAGCATGCTATTGGTACAAAAACAGGCATATAGACCAATGGAACAGAATAGAGAGCCCAGAAATCAACCCACAAACTTTTGGTCAACTCATCTTCTACAAAGGAGGCAAGAATATACAATGGAATAAAGAGAGTCTCTTCAGCAAATGGTGTTGGGAAAACTGGACAGCAGCATGTAAAACAATGAAGCTACAACACTCCCTTACACCATACACAAAATTCAACTCAAAATGGATCAAAGACTTACACATAAGACAAGATACAATAAACCTCCTAGAAAATATAGGCAAAACATTATGACATA